CTGTATACACAGACCGAACAATGCATGCGGGTAGGAGTGGGAATCGTCAGTACAGCCTCCTACCCGTCGTGTATTGAAAGAAGTTGAAATGCTTCCCATCCAGTTAGGTTTTCACAAACAAAACATAGGCGATGAGCACCAGGCGCGCCCGTGCGACCATGCGTTTTTGCAATATTTCGTGCTGCAGTAAAATCGCTCGGAGTTCCAGCAGCTAGAATTTGTGACGTACCGGCCCACGAAATTCAGGAATTTAATTATGCAACCGCATATACTTAGTCAAGGAACATTCCCTCGAAGCGTTAGATTTTTAGCTTTTGTAGTTCTTATTTAGCAATTTCTTCGCCAAAATTTTGGCGAGGCCGTACGGGAGAACCACGAGACTTGGGGTTGGATTTGCAATGTTTGGCTATACGAAAGCTGAGAACATTATCTTATAATTTCAGCTTCCTAGCTTTCCTGGTTCAGGAGTTAGCAATTTTCCCGCCAAACTTTCACGGGGCAACACATGAGTACCACGATCTCTTTGGGCCTCCACTTGAATTTCTTAAGTTGTACTTAGGTTGAGAACATCCTCTCAAAATTCCAGCCTCCTAGCCTTTTTGGTCCCCGAGTTGGCGAATTTTCCCCCCAAAACTTTCATCGGTGGGGTGAGAGTTGCTGCAGTGATCCTAGGATAAAACTTGGCGGGAACCCACTGGCAAAATTTTGGCGTCGGAGTTTATTTGGTTGTGAGTTGAAATGCCTGAACAGACAGACAAGACAGGCAGACACACACACACACACACACACACACACACACTAGGATCGTCACAATATGCGTTTTTGCTCGCTAGCAAAGCTATAGCGCAACACAGCAAAAGCGCATAAAAATCGTTTATCATGTATGCCTACATTTAGATCAGCCTGGAAAAGCTGCGCTCGTTGTGTGGCCACATGTCAGCAAACACCAAAAGCTGCACTTCGGTTGTTCACGTAGTTCTGGTTAAAATTACTGCAACTGAAAACTAACTTTCTATTGTTAGTGATTTCGCGAATTGCTTTCTGCAGGTTTCTTCGACTGATTTCAAATTTATCTATGACAATTGCTATTTGTTTCTGTTCAATAACACGAGCATTATGATACTGATCAGCGAATAAGGGTATAACGACAGCTGGACGGCCATAATACACGGATTCCAGGACAGAATTCCACCCACCGTGCGTAATTATTCCAAGAAACGCCTGATGAGCTAAATGAATAACATCACAAGAAACAATTACGCTTTGTCGCAGGAAGAGGGAAGCTCTATTCTTTTCACAGATATGCCACCAAAATTAAGTGCGGGAAGAAACAAAAGACGGCTTAAAAAACTCGTACAAATTCTAAAGTACTAATGCACTTAGCGTATATTATACTCATAACAATATGGCAAAAACCCAAAGCAAGCACAACCAAACTGGCCTTCATGAGAACATTGTTACTAATATTTTTTAATTATATTTCTTTATTTTATTGTTACTTCAGCCCTTCAAGCTTTAAGAAAGCAAAAAAGAGCTGCATTACTTTTCAAGTGTTTTTTGAGTATGTCTACATGTATTTCAGTGCGAGAAATGCAAAACAGCAAAGTCAGCGAAAAAAGTCCGAAAAAAAGACGTGTGACATTTGCAAAGCTATGACAGAGGAACCATTTTTCAGTTCTCTACTAAAATTATTGACCTGTCAACTTTTTAAGACAAAAATTTGACCGATGACATGACTCGATGTCTGAAATACTTGATTACTATTCACTCCCTGGAAAACGAAAGGTTAATTTGCGGGAGAGAAGAGATGCTTGATTTTTTTAATCGGCTGGTTACTAGATTGGTATTCATACCCATTAGTTCAACTTGTGGAATCCATTTTGCCAGATAGACGTTTTTTGATAATTGGTACAGTGTGCTATCGACGTTTTCATATTTCAAGACAAAATTGATGTTCGGGAATGACTGCATTGCATCCAGCAGAGCCTGTTGGGCTTCCGGGCATAAATGAGATGTCCGAGCAATCGAACCAAATGTAACTAACATGAAGCCGTCAGATGATGATGAATTCAGAAATTCCTGCCAGACCTAAATTTTGCAAAAATCGATATTTTCGCTTATCCTTCCTTATCTGCTCTGTAAAAGAACGCATTCTGAGCGGTAGCAAATGCAAATAAGTAGTCATCTGCCGGCAAAGCTGTTGGTGATTCCGTCGTCTGAGGGCTGATTGCGAGCAAGCTGATGGCGGGATTTGTAACTACATATTGTGGACAGACTACGCAGCATGTACGTGTGCCTGTTTGGATAGTTCATTCTCGCAGACTCGCCTATATTACCAAGATCAACCGGAAAATAAGAGTAGAAATTTGATGTCGCAGGTGTTACTACGACGGATGAGTCCACATGTTAACTATGTCAAACCCTTTGGCCTTACATTTCCAGTTAATAGTCAGTGCCTTCATTATTTACTCCGCAAGATTTATCGAAATGAAATTTTGAGAAAACACTTCGTTACCACGTGTATAATTATGTGCTCCAGACGATTTGCGAATTCTCTGTTTTCTTATTTTCAACTTCAGCAGAGTCCATATAATATCTTAAAGCGGAAAAAACGGAACTGCTCAAAATGCCGTTAAAGCGATATATTATAAAGGCGGCCGAGTGGCCGAAATTGCTATCTATTGCTTGTGATTGTTGTTGTAAGCCGCCCAAAAAATTGGCGACGGGCTTATCCAAAAAGGCAAAACTGCTCTTTACTGCTTTTAATTGCTTTGCAGCTGTTGTTTTGAACCCTTCAAGAACTGAGGGAGCGATTTGTTATGAGTATATTATAAGTGTGAAGTTTTGAGAGTACACAGCATCGTGTTGTAGCGTCCGACCCTCTTGTGGAATACAGTGCTGAGCGGAATGAATTTTACCCTTGAGATATGAAGTGCATTTTTGGTCCGACAGAACAGCTTTGACGGAAAGGAGTCTTCAGTCTTTACTATCATCTCTATTTTTTGAGCACAGAACTATCAAAAACTAAATTTGTCGCGGAATGGGCAGGGAAAAGCCTGAAATCAAACTTTAAATTTTCCGACCTATAGGCTCAGTTTCACATTTAAATTGATTAATCAGCGGCATATTAATCAAAGCGCAAGAGCAAAAACATAACTTTGCTTCATTACTAGACTGATAACTCAAAATTATTTTCTAATATGAGTTGTCTGCATTACAGCTTCAGGCCCAAGACCAGACACGGAGTAAAAATCAGTGATAGGCCAGGTTTTGAATTTGAAGTTTTAGCGGTTTTACAAACATTTGGTAATTTAAAAGGAAACAATATTGAATGATAATTGGCCCCTTTGTCATTTGCACTTTCTCAAGTTGCTTGTCGCGAGTATTCACGATCGAGCTGCCTTCTGCTGCTTTTATTTACCGCACCTAAGTGGATACTGCAAATGAAGGGGGATAACCGGCTTGTAACTAAGCAATGATTGTATTTTAACTCACTGGAGGATGATGAGCAACAACAGCGTGCTGGTTTGTTTTAGAATTTTAACAATGAAGTGAATCAGAATATAACGAGAGTCGAGAGCTGATTTTAACTTATTTGTTTCGCAGTGAGTAGCAATCCCACTAGGATTGGTAAAAATCACTCGAAAAATCAGCATTTGCTCTGGTCCTTATAGTATGTCACCTTCCTCTCCATTCTGACATACAAACCATAAGACCTGAGTGGATGAATGAAATACAACAGATCAAGTTACTCTTCTTAATGAAAATGATTCTGTTCAATTATCTGTCTTTTATTTTTTGAAAATCGCCAGTGAAAGCTTAACTTCCAATTTTAAGCCAAGTACGGCATTTCCGAACCGAATTTTAATTTCTTTCGCAGCAGTTTTATGGTTTATAGTTTTTTTAATGCGTTTTTGCTTATGTGCAAATGCAACCCAGGCTGGAACGCACGAATCTCTCTAATACAATCATGCGTTTTTGCACTAAACTCGCAGATCGCTATTAGCAGGAATGATCCCTACGCTGTAGCC